CTTGTAAAGTTCTTTGGTTGGAAAGCGGTAGTCCAGTTGGTGTAGTGTTTTTAATAGTTTGTTTGTGATATTTGTAAATCTTTTAAATTAGTTTTGTGTGCAGATCCCCATACTTCTATTAAATGTTCAAGTAAGGGTTTAGCTAATGAGTTATAAATAATAGTTCGAACTTTATATGGAATACATCGAACACACCTGCGTAAAGCTCCAGTAAGTGATGTTATTTTAGTTTGCAAATATGTAATCTAAATGAGGTTGTCATAATAGTTTATAATCTAATAGTAAACCATGATACTTTTCTGTTTCTGAGTTTTGGAGTTTAATATTATTTATGGTTAGGGATTCGTAATTAGGGTTTTTTTTTTAATTTTTAGCAGTAAAAAAGCATACAGGAGGTTTTTGTAACATTTATACTCAGCAAATTACAGCTTGTGCGTTCGATGTTATCTCATGTATTGAGTCTCCAAAAATAATAGACTTGTGGCATCTGCGTATAATGACACTTGTCTGTGTAATCCCAAATAATCAATATCGTTAATGTATATTAAGAATAATAGAGGGCCTAGGATTGACTTAAAGAATATATCGAATTAAAACATCTACTAATCTATGCTATCTACTCTTATAATGTTATTTATTGTTAACATTGAAAGTTAAGTTTAAGATTAAACATTATGCATCTTTAAATTTAAATAAAAAAATATATTTTAAAAAAAGGTATGAAACTGAATGATGTTAGTGAAAAGTTCTGTTTAAATGAAGCTATCGTTGTGCAGAAACTGTGGATTAAATGAATTGTTACATTTACTGTGGTTTGTATATTACTTGTTAGGGAGCTACTCCACTATCACTCGCAAAAACTTTGTATGATATGTTCTGTTCCAAATATTACTTTAAAGATCATTCAATAAGGTTTTACCTATCAGGATATAATTATTTCATTTAACTACCGTACCTAAATGTTAAATTATTATTGAGTTAGACTTGTTGCATAATACATTTAATATTAAAATAAAAGATTAACTTATGGATCAAAATTACTTTTAATATACAGAAATTGATAAATATCATAGAAACGAAATATACTTTACAAAGACATTACAAACTAATTTCAAACAAATTTAACAAAATAATATAAGTACAAAGAATAGTGTAAAAATTAACATGTACAATTGTAAATTAAAATCATGTACATAAATATATAACAGTTATTAAATAATATTAACAGTGGAAATACTTAAAGGACTCTGAAAAGTAAGTACAATATAGATATTCTTAAAAACAAGAACAGAATTGAATTTAGAAAAAATAATATTCAATACAACTGCACTATTGGCAGCGAGAACATGAAATTCTGTTCGTTAGTAGTAGAAGTATTCAGTTCTGTATGTCTTTTGATCCCAGAAGGGCCTGCTCATTGTGTTCCATAGGCTGGTCAACACCAGGAGGCAGGTTGGAGTCATGAGATAAGTCATCTCCTTCATTGGCTGCGTCTGAAATTGAGAAATATAACGGAAGAAATCTTTTCGATTTTTCATTTCACTCAGTTAAATAAACATAGCCCTCACAAAGTGGTTGTAAAGCATCCCAATATCCCGAACCCAGGGTCTCTTCTGTGACAACCGATCCAACGCATTCCAAGACAAAGTTATCCCAGACCCAGAGACCTCAACCTGTAATATAGAGTGTCTGATTCACTCCAAGACAAGCGCTCACATCATAACAAGTAACTCGTGTCCCGCCTCTTTAACGCCAATACTTTTAGATATTCGTGTAATAAAACTAAATTAAAATAAAAAGCGCAATAGGATTAAGTCTCAACCAAATGTCAAAAGGGATCTTAGTCAAAATCTCAGGTAAAATAAGGCAAATATCTCACCATAAAAGAAAGCAGAATACGCATCGTGAGTCCATTGTCCCTGCCACGGAACCATATATTCTTCAAACGCTCGAGTTGATCTGTCGTATGAGCCAGCTAACAGCTGTACCTGTAGAGTGTGATTATCTTCACTTATTATAATATGGTCAGCTATTCACCAACACTCCGCTGCACACGCACACACAGACAGACACAATGTACTCGCCGCGCCCGCGCCCCTCTCTCCGAGTGCCGTCCGACAATAATAAATAGTAGGTAAATAATAAGTACACGAAATAACTACATTATGATTCTTCTTTCCATCACACATTTCAGGCTTTAGATTGTCGACATTGAAATTTCTCTTTAATGTGAAGCCAACATTTTATAATTACTGATTTGTTAAATTAAATTTGTAAATAAGAATTATTAAATAGCTGGTAACGCGTGATTTGATTAGACACCACAATACCTACGACAAAGTTAAACACAGTCGGTGTGTTTAAATGGTGTGAATCCAAATATTTACAATAATTTAAAGATCGTAAACAAACTAATAGTTTAATTTGCACTCGCGCAGCGTTGTCGTTTTAAAACATTTTCAAAATATCCACCCCCTTGTTCAATGTTTTCGCAATTGTGGTTTTATTTTAGATAGTACTGCAGTGTCACTTTTCACTTTTACAAAGGCGGTTATTATCTTATTTTTTAGTTCCTCGAAACTTGTTGTCTCTGTGTTAATTCGCCCCCACAAAAAAAAAAGTCGAGTGGCGTCAAATCAGCTGACCTAGGAGGTCAATGGACACGTGCCGTAGGTATTGATGTGTGCCGACTGTCGCTGTTGGTATGCGTGCGTAGTAATTTACTTAGTTCTATCTAAATTTGAGAAAAAAAATGTCCTACATAAAAAACTCGATCGATCAAAATCGATCTAGATTCCGATTCTGAACAAATAAGTTTCAGGGTGTGCGTTAATTATGTTACATATTGTATATGAGGGTTCATCAATACCGGTCTGTATGTAATGTGAGGCGGCTCGTTGTAACAGCGGCGGTACATGAGGTGGGACAGACTCAGAGCTCTCACTCGAGACGCCTCCTCGTACAACTGTGAACATGAAAAAAATATATTAAAAGCAAAATGTGATAATAATATACAGCTTTCTTGACTATTATTTAAATTTAACAAACTATCGCTGCTGTAAGTTATCCAGCTTATGAATTTATTGATCTCTATCTTGTCCAAGAAAGTGTCATGTATGTTAATACGTCATAGACGAAGGTAACAAGCTATCACCATTTTATAAAAACTATCGTTCTTAACAAAGCATTTTGTCATTCTTTAAAAGGAATTCTTCAGAGATACAATAAAGTAATTTCCAAACGAACCCAAGTCTTTGTAATGCTGCACCACTTCTCTTGTCATGAGAGCTTCAGACTGTGCCAGGTCCCCGCGCTCGACCAACACCTCCTCCGTCTATACACGTCACATAAAACTACACTTACTACACTACTATAATCATTAGTATAGCCAATGCAAGCAGAACTCAAAAATAGTTTTCCATAGAATAGCTGTCAGTTAGTTGGTGTTAGGTTAATGTTCGAGTGCCGCCAGTCCCCGGGCGGTCAATGACCCCGGCCACTGAACAGCAACCTGCTGCTGTACTGTAACCGGAGCGTGGGCCCGAGCCACCACCCACTGACCACTCGTGTCAGACATCTGTCATACATTTAAATTATTAATGGAAACAATATACCATACAACATCATATCTACAATATACTTATATATTTATTTTCATTCACATGCATAATTTAACGGACCTAGAGGGTTAGGGCATTTTTTTAAATGCGCTCGCTAATTTTAAAGTGCGTTGTGCTAATAGAGCTCACGGTTCCTTCGGAAACCAAAATTTCGAAAGACCATGTGATCAAGGTCAACAAGTGTTACAAGCTCACTAACGAACTCACTAAGAATAGATGCGATGTTAATTTATACGCTATAGAAGTGGGGGGACAGGTATGACAGCCAAATCTCTCTACAACCTACTAAAAGACTTGAGCCTGTCCAGAACTAATATCAGGTCATTGGAACGTGCGTTTTAGGCAGCCGTAGTAGGTTCATTTCAATTTTGGCTAGGTTTTGAGAGAAGCTTGGACGGTGTGAGTAAGCGTTTAACGCGCGTAAGGTAGGGGTCCCTTAAACCTACACCTGGGTCGCAAGTCCCAGGAACTGTTGAAGCTCCGCTCCTGCAACGCAATAGACCTAATGGCCACACAGCGAATCTATGGAACACTAAGAAGTTTGTTTTCATATCAATAGACGCATCGTTTTCCCTAGTGGCTCTCACCGGCTTGTATGGAGTAGGTCTCAGCTCCCCCGCGGCCCGGAGGTCGCTGGCCGCCACCAACCGCAGCATCGACTTGCAAAAAAGATATTAATTGAATTTACAAACTTTGAATTCTAAAAAATTAATAAATTGATCGTGACGTTAAATGCGTGTGTAAAAGAAGAAATGAATAATTGAAAACATATTCGTTTACACCCTTATTGGATGTTTACATTTATATTTGTAACTAGACACAATAACTAATACGAAATGAACAAAATCGAATTACGTTAATAACAATTATAAAAAAATAATAACAACATATTCCTTTTGTTCATTATTTAAAATAACTTACTTGAGAAGATATAAAATGATCCCCCAACTGTTCACATTGCTCCCGAATAGATTCTTTATCTTCTATAACATAAAGATATCAATGGATTGATTTACTATATATATATATATGTATATATAAAAACACAAAAAACTATAGCAAATATCTTATCTTATATCTTTAAATGAGTAATTCTTGTATATATATCTATATATTATGGGAATCTCGGTATTGGCTCAAACGATGGCGATAAATCGATCTAGCTAGGAATCATTATCATCATTACTCATTTAGAAAATGTTATTTTACGTAAAAAAGAATAACAAAAATTAGTCGTTTAAAATATGACTCTCCCTGACATCTAGTGGCGAATAGTAATACTACTTTTGCTACTTGCTTTTACTAATTGATTTAACGACACAACAGCAGATGGCGTTGTTGAGTACCAGGAAGTCAACGAATGTTTGTTTAAAGGTTAGACTAAGAGATTAATTGTTGATTTATATTATTTTCTGTCTTCTTAACGTGTTGAATTAAAAATGCCTAAACGAAATAAAAAAAAACACAAAATAAATACTAATGATTCCTTAATACCCAGCAAAGCTCGGTAACCAGATATTATTAATAATACCTGTACAATTTGAAGAGCTTTTTTATAATGATGTGCCTTCAGAGCCGCAGTGAGAGCATCAACGGTTCGAGCAGCCTCTATGAGATGAGGTACAGCGGCGCCCGCCTGTCGCGATGATACAAGCCACGCGCCCCACTCTCCTTCCAACCTGGTCACTTCACCGGGACAGGCCTGAAGAACAACAAATGATATAATCAAATTTAAAAACAATATTTCAAATAGATAGTACTAACTTCTCTTGCTAGTTGAACGGCTCTTGCGTAGTTGTTGCCTCTTGTAATAGTAATCAACAGCAGTTCTTATATCACCTTTACGCTCGGATATTTCACCAGCCATTTCCCACCATTCCTCCTACAAAGGAAACAAATTGTAAAGTTCATAATCTATGTCTCTAATTAGTGAATCTTAACTTTTTAAAATGTATAGTAATATGCAGGAGTTACAGTATAAGAATAAATATTAATGTATGAGATAGTTATATTAAGAAAATATACTTCTGCTATTCTTTGTTTGTTAAATGCATAACCCTCGTCTTTAACTTGCATCATTCACACTTACATTATCTCTTCAATAGTATAATCAATAATACTAAATCAAAAATAAACGCTAATTGGTCATTTGCGTATGTATTAAGACCAACAACGAATTGAGCAGGATCTTTTCATTACTACAACAAGACTATCCTTAGTGAGACCAACAAGCGATATTCCCACAAATGGGTCCACACTTAACTGGCATTTTTAGTTTTTTTTTGGCTCATAGGTAATGTCGATTCATATGTAAAAATTTCAACGCATCGATTTAAATATGTTGGAACTTCTTAAATTTATCTCTAGCTCGTAGGAACGGTACAGTAATTTTATTTTCTATGAATAATTTTCTGTTTGTTTGTTGATGAAGGACTACGTCTTTATAAAATAGTGGACAGGTGATGCGAATGTATGAGGTTTTGTTGAAGAAATATCCATGTCACCGGAACCGGTTTTTTTTTCAAGACAATTCTAAACCATAAGTGTCGACAGTAACGCGGAATACGATCAAAGAACTTGGTGATACTAAATTCCTACCACATCCGAAATTCAGTTCAGACTTTACACTTGAGATCTATGGCGAAATTCTTTTGTACAAAATAATTTGTATCCAACAGATGTTATTAAAGCAGTGCGAATTTTTTTTGCATTTAAGGCCAAAAAATGGTTTAACCTAAGAGCTTACTGCTCTTTGGGATAAAAACCATTAAATACGAGGAGCTATACATTTCATAGTTAGTCTATTTCATTGCATTATATATTAAAAAGTGAACACTGAAAATCGACATTATTTATGAGACATCCACTGTACTTATATCCTCTGTACTTGAATACAAATTCACATAAAGCAAATATCGTGAAAAACTTACTAAAACTTAGTAGAATGTTTTCAATGTGTTTGGCAAAGCCTTTACAAACTTCTGTTTATATTTAATCTAACTATAATGCCATACATATTAACCTCAACATCGTATCTTATAGCGCCTGTTCAGCCAGTTGACACCACAACGACCCGACGTCCGCAGACCTCGACACAGCGTCCAAGTATTGAGCACAATCCTTTAAGTCCCCGCTACGTAACGCCGAATCTATTCAAAATAAATAGTAATTTCCATTTAATATTCCATATAAATTAACAATATAGCGATTGATGAAAATAAATTCAAATAGCGCTTAGAACATTAAATCAATCCTGTTATAATAAAATCGTTCATTTATTGTCTTATACCAAAAAAAAATGGCTTAAAAGTACACTGTATTATTCTATAAGTTAATCAGTCCAAAAAGTTACTTCAGCAACATACTGAATCTTGTTGTGTGGATAGTGTGCACCGGATTAACATTACCCTACCATAACCTTTAAATTTAAACGTCGTCTATATAAAAATTATATAGTAATCACTTCAAACAATAAAAAATAAATGAAAACAAGGTTTTCGGATATTTTTAAATAAACGACATACTACCTACGTTTCGGTTACTTTACAGCGACCATGATCACGGGCAGACTAGATGTGTTTCATTTAAATGAATACTCGAGGAAGTCTTAGATCTCATTAATCCTACTAATATTATAATTGCGAAAGTTTGTGAGTGTGTGTGTATGTTTGTTACTTCTTCACGCTCAAACGGTTGAACCGATTTTGATAAAATTTTGTATACAGGAAGCTGACGTCCAGGAATAACACATAGGCTACTTTACATCCCGGAAATCCCGGAAGTCCGCGGGTAAAACCGCGGGGCGCAGCTAGTATAAAAATAATGTCAATACTGTAAAGGGTTCATACTGAAAGCCAGTCGATGTTCATCCAATACAATGGCCTGGATCTGACCTCCTTCCAGTAGGACTCGTCGCTCTGATACTGATACAGCCGAGACTGATACACACTCAGACATGTCAACACACTGAGGCTCCCACACACTGTACCTGTAACACATACAAACACACATATATATATATATATATATATATATATATGTAGGAACAACCTTATGATCCATGTATATCTTACTGTATGTAACATAAAGACATAATGAGTAAAAACTAGGATTAATTTACAGGAATATTTTGATATGTTCTCTCCCAAAACAAGAAATCAATATGGATCATTTAACCCATTGCCAACGATACACTATTTTTAAGTTAGAAGATTTACTATATATATTCAAATAAATTTTGTACACATAATAAGTTACTTTTATCCAGTACAATTAAAAAATATATTATTAAATCTTACCAAATCAGCAAATGTGTTGAGGTTTGGGCTACAACAGCGACACTGTTTTCTATCCATTGCACGAAACTAACTCCGCTCCCGATAATTTCCTAAAAAAATGAAATACCAGACAATAAAACATCATATTTATTTGACTCAATTTATTCATCTATGTCGTTTACGCTATATACATATAGGAATGTGCTACCTTTTCACCGGTATCAATACGGAGAAGTGCAAGTCGTCGTCTAGTATGACGGAACAGAAGCAGATGTCCGCTCTCAGTCAGCTCCAACCAATCCACCCGAGCTTCGTGCCACCATGGCCCTAACTGAACTCCTACAACATTCACATCATTGATATTAATAAATATAATGCAACGACATCAATCTTTTTTTCATAACAAAGGAACTCTACCATCTATCCTATGTATGTTCCGTACCTGTAACAAGATCAATAACAGCAATCGTCTGTCTGTCCAGCAGATAGGCGAAGTGTTTTCGTTCTTCCTCCGTCTTCCTGCCCTCATTGATACGGACACTGAGCACGTGAGGATTCACACGCTCAGTACGAACCTCCATAAGATACGAATCATTTTAGTATAAATTAAATTACTTGACATTGTGTAGATCTTGATCTATACTCACGGTTTGTAGTACTCTATCGAGGCCGTACTCCACCACACTAAGTTCGCCAGCACGCTGCAACAGACAGGCTCCACCCACAGCTGCATATATACGCTCCCCTCCACCGGACCATGGTATCTGGAGTATTCATGACTATAAACTTTTAACTAACCTTAACTTTTTGTTAAAATATCAGCTGGCATTTTAGCAGTTTATAAATAATCAATTTTAACAAACTTATCTGCTACTGCCTGTCTCACAGAATGGTATCTAACATCTATATGTATAGATCTCCTGTGGTATACTGGATTCAAAACAAGTTTTTATACACTTTGATAATCATTATACAAAATCATTGTTTCTGAATTAACTCCAATTTCAAAAATAAATAGCCTCCTTACTGGCTTCTCACATGGAAATATACTGTGCTTCTGTTGAAAACAAAGCTATATTTCTGTTTTCTACATTCAAAAGAAATTACTAAACCAGACAACTTAAAACAAAATCTAGAAAAAGATTTTTTATCATTTGAACCTGAACCCCAACTTGCATCAACATATCCTTGTCTATAACAATTATCCTTTCGTAAAACAAGGCCAAAGATTTTAGTAACTTTTGAGTACTTTAAAATTCGTTTTAAATGTTTCCAATGAGTTTCATCATATGAGTTCTAAAACTGACTCAAATAACATACACTGTAAGCTAAGTCGGGTCTGGTCAAGACAGATAAATACATAAAATTACCTACCACTTGTCTATATGGAATTTTCTAATCACAAAAACTGTTCTTAGATTTTTCTAGCCTTACATTTACCTCCATAGGAGTTTCCAGTTTTACAATGTAACATATTAAATCATTTCAGAAAGCTTTCTACATATTGTTCTTGATCAACAGTTATAACATTTTCATACATATTTACTCTTAAGCCTAAACAATGCTTTATTTGATCTAGATATTTTATTTAAAATTTACTGCTTAAATCTTGTATTAACTGATTAGTTGTCATTTTACAATTAGAGAATACAAAAAAGTCATCAACAAACAAATCTATTATCACTTTAACATTTCTTTCAAACTTTATAAATAAACAAAGGTTCATACTTAGATTTTAAATGACCTAAAGATTTTAACTGATCATTGCCTCTCTCATACCATGCATGTGAGGACTGCTCAAGTCCATAGATGGCATGTTTATTATTATCATCCTCATACAATACAGGTTTTTCAATATACACAGAATCATTCAAAAATATCATAGGTGGTAGAGCCTAGCTGTGGTCAAGTGAATGCAGCTCGAACATGAGCTGTCTCGACCGGGGAAGTACCACCCTCTCACAGAAGATCAGTGTGAAGTAGTCTTTAATGGCTGCGTTTCTTCCGATGAGTAGGAGTGCCGTTTGTCCTTTTCCTTCTCCCATCCTTTCCTCCCCTTCCCATTTTTCCTCCCCCTCTTCCCTAATCAAGGGTGGTGACACATCCACAACATGTCTTATGTATAGTGTAGGCCGTCTGCTCGGTTGCCCCCTTTAACATAAAAAAAAAACATTCAGGAAAGCTGATGTTGTTGGTGTATATTTAAAACTAATTTTACAGTTAAAGAAAATAACAATCTTAGAGTAGAATAATGTAGCACAGGGGAAAGTCTCATGATAGTGTATGCCAGCTTTCTGTGAAAAACATATTGCCATTAATCTTGAATGATAATGCACCTTACCAACACTATCATACTTTGTTTTTAAACACCCATTTGTACTGAGCTACCATAGTATCACAAGAGTTATCCACAAGTTCTCATTCATCATTTATCTTAAACAATTCTTATTCTTCCTCCATACTTGCTCTCCAAATTACTCTCAGTCCCATTTAAAGCTCCCTCATGTGTAATATTCGTTTTAATCTGATCATCTGATCATTGAAGAAGCTTCTGGAATATATGTGACATAAATTATATCACATTCAGTATGTGTGCTATCTGCATTACCTTTTCTTCTTTTTCACTCTGTTCCT